AGACTATGACAGATGCGATGCTACTTCAACCTTTATCCTTCTGACGGTTGGACCATTAAAAATATACTCTGAAGAAAAGTTCTGTGAGTATCAGCTCTGATCCATCCATGTTTCAAAAGGGCTTCTGAGTATTGTACCACTGGTGATTTAAGTGCCAGTTTTATGTGGGAGGAAAACCTGAAGTGATGCAGGTCTTGGACATTTACCACCTTGGTGAAACCTAAGAGCATGGGGATGGTGCTGACAAACCTCGAAACATAATCAGGGCAAATCAGAGAATCAAACCCATCCTCACAGGTTTCTGGCATGCCTAAGGGACACAACTCTGTAAAGCTGTTTGTGGCGCTTAATCCAGTTGACATGCCATGATGTAACTTGTTTTGTTTGTTTGTAACGCCACACTCAGCAATATTCCAGCCATATGACGGCGGTCTGTAAATAATCGAGTTTCGACCAGACAATCCAGTGATTGACATCATGAGCATAGATCAACGCAATTCGGATACAATGACATTCAACAACCAGCCTGACCACCCGATCCCCTTTGTTGCCTCTTATGACAAGCATAGCCGCCTTTTACGACAGACATGAGTTGCTGAAGGCCCTTTCTAACCCGGATCTTCACGTGTATGAAGCAAATGAAATCCTGTTCATAGAGGCGTTAAACCAAACAAACTCATTTATCGTATTCAGCAGTAAGAGACACCTACACACCAATAGCTAATGGCTAGATGAGGAATAGTTTGGCTCGATTCCTTTGGGGTTAGGCTCCTGACAGATTCCCAGACACTCTCAGATTAGCTGCCATGTCTTTGAGAGGTAATTGTCTGGGAATCGGTGCCATATTGATACGTTAATACACTTGCTCAACTGATGTTATCAGCGTGGTATTCTGTCTGATTGAGTTGTGTTCTCTCCTGAGAGATGGACACGACAGGAGCGGACGTTTGTTGTGACCAAGGGTTATTAAGTTAATACAATGAATACACAAAATAATTTCATTTATTGGATTAAATAACACTCTTAATGTTGTTCTTGAGACCTGAAAGATGTTACATCTGAGATCTGGAGTAAATATTGTTTCTTTGAATAGGGTACTGAGGATTTCAGCATGTGTTTGTGACGGGTGCCACTGATACATAAGGCAGGCAGGATACACTCACCTTTTCGCGAAAACCTGGTATCATCACTATCTGATCACTATCATGGGTTGCCCAGTCGTCTAAGCCGCCACGATTTGCTATGCAGAGTCGCATCCCTTGGGGACGCCAGTAACCTATGATTGTGGGTTTGAATCCCAGTTCGCTCCGATTATGTTTCTAGCTTTGTCAGCACCATACCCGTGCTTGTGGGTTTCACCGAAGTGGTAAACGTCTGAGACCTGCATCACTTCGGGCTTTCCTCCAACATTAAGCTGACACGCCGTGATATAACTGGAATACTGTTAAAAGCAACCTTAAACCCAACTCATTCATTCACTGTCTGATAGTGATTCATAAACACATGCTTATGATAATGTTGTACGTTGGACTCTTATGAGATTTCTTATGATTATGGAAATGTTTTGTCACCAATTGTACAAATCTTTTTGCATAATTTATATGGGTTATTGTTTTATGTGGTTGTGAATCTTATTTTTGGTAGGCAAGAGTTGCCCTGTTTGCTCAGCAGTGTTCCGGCTGGCTTTTGAAACTGCCAGTCCTTGTTGACTGACAACTCTAAAAATAAACCAGTCCCCACTCATTTTTGCCAGTCCCAGCTTTCAACAAATAAAAAAACGTATGAAAGTTATTTGGTTTTAATTCTTTCAACTTCATGTTCAGTGCAAAGACGGAGAGAGGAATGTCCGCGGTTCGATCCCCTACCGCGTCATACCAAAAGACGTTAAAAGATGGTACTTGTTGTTACCCTGTCTGGCGCTCGGCATTAAGGGGCTAAAACAACAAACATGCATGCACACATCCCTATGGAAGTGCAATAATCATATATGTTATGCAACACCTCATTTACCGCCTCCTTGGTCTAGTGGTAGAGCGTCCGCCCGGAGTCCGGGGTTCGATCCCCGGCCGCGTCATACCAAAAGACGTTAAAAGATGGTACTTGTTGTTACCCTGTCTGGCGCTCGGCATTAAGGGGCTAAAACAAGGACTGGTCGGCTCGGAGTCAGTATACTGTGTCTGAGTGGGGTATTCATGTTAAACTGCGGCATGGTATCTCAGTGAGCTAGCACTATAAATCGGCAACAGTCCGGACTAGTACAAGCAGCCACACAAACACACACACGTACATGCACGTCGCTATATAAGTGCAATAATCTTGGACGCGACGTTAAACCCCATTTCACCTCACCTCACCTCAGTGCAAAGATGTCATCTCTGAAGTAACATAGTTAGATCTATACGTCATTCACACAAACTTAAGTCACAATTTTCGCCTTATTTTTTAATATTTTGAGACGAAGTCACTACAACTGGATATTTAACCTAGAAATAGACAAGTGGAAACGCTGATGGTAACAGACAAGCTGACTTTGTACGAAAAATGTACTTATATGAATATCACCAATGTTTTGTTGAACAACAAAGATTTATAAGTACTTTATTTGCCGGTCCACAGGTAATGGCAGTTACATGAATTACCAGTCCAAGCCTAATTTTACCGGTAAAAAACTGGTAATTACCGGTAAACGGGAACACTGACATAGGTGTGCCAGAATCTTAATTCATCAGAAACACAATTATGGCAGTCTCATGCTTGTGATGAAGATGTGGTTTCTGATTTAATTTACGATTATTCTTGGAAGAAATGCAGGTTTGAATGGCCAATCAGCAGCTAGGTGTGTCTGCTTATTCAGAAGTGGATAATTTCTGTCCAATCATACCAAAATAAAACATTAATTTGGTGAGAATTTGTATCCTGTTCAAATTACCAGTAAATATTTATATAATTTGTGTCAAAGATGAAAAATACAGATTTCAATGGGGGTAACAGTTTTGGTATGGACTGTTGATAAGAAACCTGACGTATATATACTGGTCCTTACCTCAACAAGTATCCTGGATGAACTGAGTGCTTCTAATCTCTCTCGCAGTGGGATGGCACTTGACATTAAAAAACATCAAAATTCTACCTGAAATTAAACACATGTGACTGGACCTAGCTTGATAATGGTTTGGAAAGATCAGCTAAGTTTAATTTCTTGTTATCAAATTGTCTTTGTTCTTTTGCAAAGAGGAGGCACGGGTGACTCAGTCGTCTAAGGCTTTATTGGGTTGAGTCCCATCCGGGATTCAAACCCACACTGCCAGAGTGAGGCACCTAATCGCGTCTGCCCGGAGAGTCGAAGGTCGGAGATTCGATCCCAGGCCAAAAGACGTTAAAAGATGACACTTGTTGTTACCCTGCCTGTCATTCAGCATTAATGGGCTCAAACAACAAACATGCATGCACACATTCCTATGGAAGTGCAATAATCATATATGTTATGCAACACCTCATTTACCGCCTCCTTGGTCTAGTGGTCGATCCCCGGCCGCGTCATACCAAAAGACGTTAAAAGATGGTACTTGTTGTTACCCTGTCTGGCACTCGGCATTAAGGGGCTACAACAAGGTCGGCTCGGAGTCAGTATACTGTGTCTGAGTGGGGTATTCATGTTAAACTGCAGCATGGTATCTCAGTGAGCTAGCACTATAAATCGGCATCAGTCCGGACTAGTACAAGCAGCCACACAAACACACACACGTACATGAACATCGCTATATAAGTGCAATAAACTTGGACGCGACTTTAAACCCAATTTCACCTCACCTACACCTCATTTCACCTCACGCAGGGTCAAGATGGATCCGTCTGGGGACATCAACTCCTGCACAACAAGGTGGTTCTAGGATGTTATGTGTCTTGGGTTTTTTCAATCATGGACAGGAAGAGTCTGTTAAAGGAGGAAAGGATTCCAAAGCCTTGAGACAGGTAGTGTCTCCTCCTTTGTTCAATGTTTGGTTTGTCAGCTGATCACCATATGGTCTTGTGTACAGCACACAAATCAAGCTGAATTTATATTTTTCAGGTATTTAAATATACTAAAAGCCTTGGCAAGTCTAGATCAAACCAACCAAGTCTAGGAAAGGTTCTTTTGAAGAATTTTTTTATTATTATTTATAATACGTATTTTCATTGACTAAGTGCTTGTCTAGCTGTTGTCTCAGAGAGCAGTTGGATGGGTGACCCAGTTCCGCAGCTTGGCTACTGGGAGTTTCCAAAGCTTTGGTCCTGCCCCACATCGAAACACATGTAACACATGTGGTGTGTCCTTGGGCATGTGACTTTGTTTGAAATGTGCCTCTGTTCACCCAGCAGTGAACGGGAACCCGGTGAGATGAGATGGTAATGTGACCGTTAACCTGCTCCCACCTCACAGGCCGCTTGTGTTGTATGCTCCCCAGGGAGCTGAGATTGAAATCAAGTGCACGCTGATCCACTGACCGGGGTAAAGAATATATTTGCAAATCCTTGCCGCTGTGTAGCATTTCCTCATGAATGAGAAAATGACTTTGGTTCTTTTACAGCATGTTTTGGACTTACAACAAGCAAATTGTAGACACATCTCTATATTAATGACTTTTAACCCTGTTTCACCTCGCAACCTCCCCAAATGGGAGATATAAGGGGGAAATGTGTGAAAAGGGCAGAGTTTCAAGTTTTTGGGTTGGTATTTGCTAATATTTGAGCATGTACCACACCACAACACACGCCACTACGCCACTACACCACTCCACACCACACAATTCAAACCACACCACACCACACCACACCACACCACACCACACCACACCACATAAACATACCACACCACATAAACATACCACACCATAACACACCACACCACCAAAACACCACCAAAACACACCACACCACACCACACCACACCACACCACCAAAACACCACCTCTATAAAACCATAAAAACTGAAACCAATTTCATACAATTTCATGCTTTGATTGTGACTCATATAAACAGACATCTGTACTCTAATCAAGGTGTTATATATACTGCAGCAGGTACTGTCAAACAAGGGAGATAACTCTGAAGATTGTAAGTTCCTATCACTTAGCGTATAGCATTACAGAAGTTTCTAGTCTGCCATACCATGTGAAGGGCAAGAATGTGCCCAAGCCCTGGCAACTTTAGCTACAAGAAAATGGTAAGGATAAAAAACAATATAGGATGGATATCGCAGCTCCGTACAGTGTCTTGGGTGGTAGGGCTGACTGAGGAGCCCACAAGTGCATTATTAGATCGGTTTCTGCAAAGGAGTGTTTGCATGTCTCACAACTTGGATGGAGATCATGCATGTTTTTTTATCACAGGCTCACTTCATCAATGCAGGTAATGTTTAAGTTCAGACAGTACATGCCTCGACTTGTGTGGATGTGTGATCAAATTCTTGACACAACACAGGCCATTTCTGTATGTCAGGATATTCATTGTGAATGCTCCTATTTCCTGGAGATTTATGGCTTCCTTGATGATTGGAGGGCTCTGACAGTTCGGTGCACTTTTTGAGCGGACAGAGTTGTGAATGAACTGTTATAGTGTATTGTGATAATGCTGTTGCACTTGGAACCCGCTCATTGTGAGTCGCCGATGAGTTCATGCTTTTCTTAGTAGATTAAATTAGTTTGGCAGCTGCTTTGGGAATGTTTGCCGAAGTCTTTATATTGGAACAGCTTACACAACTGAAGCATCTGGATACATGCAGACTTGAAACATGTGGAAATCGTCTCTGAAGGTATATTTTGATGTTTACAGTATTTATACTGGAGGCTCTTGTGCCGATAATTCATTATTAATATTTCATAAGGTGATTCTTTTATTTACTTGTGCAACACCTGATTCAATGCTACTGAGCAATACCCTTTTTTATGATTGAAAGGGTATTAAAATATTTGTGTATGTGTGTATCACATGTAAGGGTTTGTTATTGATACTAGTTTATATGTAAGTGAGTTGGGTTTAAGGCCGTTTTTAACAATATTCCAGTTACATCATGATCACGGTGGGTCAGCTTAATGTGGGAGGAAAGCCCGAAGTGATGCAGGTCTCAGACATTTACCACCTTGGTGAAACCCACGAGCATGGGTATGGTGCTGACAAACCTAGAAACATAATCAGGGCGAACCAGGACTTGAACCCACAATCATAGGTTTCTGGCGTGCCCAAGGGACGCAACTCTGCACAGCGAATCGTGGCGCCTTAGACGACTGGGCCACCCTGCCCCCTTATATATGTGAAGTTATTTTATATTGATTGGTTTTATTTGCTTTGAGAGATTTGCAGAATGTTGATGCATTAATTTGTCATATTTTGGCATTAATCAGTGTTTTACTGCAGCAAAATATTGTGTTTGCACCTTATGAGCATAGAAACCATTACAGATAGAGGCCATGACAGATTAACTGTAGTCATATGGAAAATGTGGGTGTTCTTTAACCTCTTTGAGAAGTATCGTTCACTGTGAGACTCCAAGCGACAACAAAACGTGTTGCTGTGTGAATGATTAAGAGAAATTCAATTGTAGCATGCATGTTTTATTTAACTGACATGTCTTTTCTGATATGCAATCAAAGGGATATGCATAAAAAACTAGATGATTTCCAGATCACCACCACAGTATATTAGTGAGTGAATGTGGTTTTATGCAGCTTTAAGCAATATTCTAGCAATATCACAGCTGGGGACACCAGAAATAGGCTTCACATACTGTATCCATGTCAGGAATCGAGCCCGGGCCTTCGGCCTGACGAGCGAATGCTGTAGCCACTAGGGTACCCGACCGCCCCCTCCTCTCATTACAATCGTGCCTCGTTTATACGGACACTTGCGTCATTTCACAATTCGTCCGTATAAACGAATTTCCGTATAACTGAAACCAGCTTCTTACTGGAAAAGTTACATTAACGGGCACATTACGACTTGTCTTTTAAAATGTCACCAATTGTCGACTTTCCTATGGTATGTCGAAATTCAGTGCCATAGTGCTTACTGATGGTTTCCAAACTTGCTGACAGACGCCATATTTATCGAATTGGATTACATGTACAATAAACAAGCTCATCTCAAACGTAACTCAGTGTCACTTGGTTAACTGACTTCTCACGAATCAAAGGATTACCACCAGCGGAAGGATTACCACCAGCGGAAGTGTATTGTCCGGGTAAGTGAGACAATTTTGTGTGCATTTCAGTGTTTTGTGTATGAAAATGACCATCCGGTACCGGAAACTGAATTTCTGTATAAACGGGTAAATTTATATAGTAATTATTTCGTTTTGAATGAAAATCGTCTGGGAACCGAGCTTTCCGGATATCTGAAGTCTGTATAAGCGGGGCATGACTGTATAAAACGTGTGGCTGTGTGAATGATTAAGAGAAATTCAATTGTAGCATGCATGTTTTATTTATTTATTTCTGATATGCAATCAAAGGGATATGCATAAAAAACTAGAAGTGAGTGAATGTGGTTTTATGCAGCTTTTAGCAATATTCTAGCAATATCACAGCTGGGGACACCAGAAATAGGCTTCACATACTGTATCCATGTCAGGAATCGAGCCCGGGCCTTCATCGTGACGAGCGAACGCCGTAGCCACTAGGGTACCCGACCGCCCCCACCTCTCGTTATATTAGGCTATCTGAGAATTATGCATATCAGTTTTGTTTTTTCCCTTTTTTAATATATAACATATTGTTTCTAGTTTCAACAAAATCGGGAAATGCACTGTTGTGTCACTGGATTGCCTGGTCCATCGCTTGATTGTCTCAGGGTGGTAGTAAAATAGTTGTCAAGATACTATTTTTTCCGATCATTGCATCAAAATTCATTTCTGTGATATTATTGGGTAATATCATAATTGTCAGTAGATTGGGAGAAAACGTGTGTACAGCTGATTGCTATTTCCGGCTTAGTTTATGAGACAATACACACGGTAATCTTTATAAAACTGTATCTAACATAACAAGAAGCAATGCACCTGAAGCAATATGATGTAGTTTTTTCAACCAACAAAAAAAGAGTTTGATGAATGTGCAACCTTCATGTGCCGACCCCTTTCTCAAAATCTTTTATCTAATCCTCAAAATTCGGCTTATCTATGGTCATATACGGTAGAATTATGCATTCTTTTAGGGAAATACTGTCCCCATTTTTGGCCTACAGTACATGCACTACACAACTGTCTATAAGCAGCACATTAGGCTTCAGAATATGCACAATTATACAGCTTCAGTAAAATATGTAGTCATATACCCAAAGCATTATTACACAAATAGATCCTCTTGGCGAGGTCATCATGTGTAAACACACACTCCGGCGCAGTGGTGACTCAGCATAACACCACTGCCACAGGCTAATTTGCATATCATGTGACCGGACTTTTCTCTTGTTTGTAAACAAATGCGCTTTTTCAGAAATCAATGTAGAACGGACTAATGCAAGTATTTGGGGTCGCTTAACATATTGTTTTGCATAATTATATAGATATGCTACTACAACTGCGACAGTGAGTTGCATGACAATATATATTTATGCATCAAAAAGACCGTATCGCCAGCTCTCCGTTAGGCTTCGATAACAGCACGTGGAGCCTTACAACCAATGTAAACAAAGAATAACTACGCAAAAACAAATAGATTTTCACGTATTAGGATACTTTCTTAATGAACCGTAACCATTCTTTGACGTTTGTTTATGAAAATGTGTTGACTTGTCATACATGAAACGGATGAAAAGCATATTCAATATCTTGAATGGACTGTGAAAGATGTGACGAATCGTCACATGGCGCTGGCCTGTGGCAGAGGTACTATGCTGGCTGGCTGCCAGCCGCAAGGAACTCTGGGTAGGAGAGTGGTGTAAACAATGACCCAAGAACCTGACTAAGTTCTGCAGCAGTTCAGATTTCCGTCAGACCACCACATTATCGTGTCTTTGGTTTTTTCCACATATGGAGCTCACCAAGAATAATCAAATTTTTTTTACCAAAATTAATGTACAAAGTGCCCACTTTCACTTTTGTCTGTTATCAAGTATTTGAACATCTTCAGAAAGATTTCCGAAGTGTGTATTGCCATTCACAGTGCCATGTTTTGTACTATGTACTATTTTCTGCACTGTTATCTGGATATGTTACTTTCCATAAAACTGTTTCCCATTATACAATCACATGACCGGTTTGCTGAGTAAATGTTATATAAGTACATGGCTCCATTATGACAGGCTCCGCCATCATGCATGATAGCGGAGCTTCAAATTAAGACAAGAGATATAATTGGATGAAATGGTCGCGGATGTGGAGGTACTGGTGGACTACGGCAATGAGCTTAACCCATGTTAAGCAACCCCAACTGCAGCAACCGCTGCCCTGCAACCCATGTTGCTTACCGATGCAGCATCCGCTGCCCCGCAACTACCGTTGCCAAGCAACCCATGTTGCTTACCAATGCAGCGCCTGCTGCCCTGCAACTACCGTTGCCAAGCAACCCATGTTGCTTACCAATGCAGCGCCCGCTGCCCTGCAACTACCGTTGCCAAGCAACCCATGTTGCTATGCAGCTATCGCTGCCAGGCAAGTACCATTGCCAAACCATGAGCGAGGGCAACTATTGTTGCCAAGCTGACCATCCGCTGTAAAGCGGACACTAAGCCATCTGCTGTAAAGCAGAATGGATAAATTGGTTCCTGCTGTAAAGCGGGTAACCCTATCCTAAATAATTTATAATTTGGGATGTATCCCAAGACGCCAAATGTAACTTGTAATGCAGTCCACCAGCACCCCGCCACAAGCACCGAGGGTCTACGACCCCCCTTTGCGCGAAAGCAAGAATAGGCGGGATGTTGTTCGCCACAATTGGAGCATTTATGAATAAACTTGCATTCTGGCCTGGCGCACCTTGACCTGTTGTAGTCCCAGCATGCGTTGACTGTAAAGTCACGGCCCCTGCTGAAAGGCACTGTAAAGCGTTCAGTCTTATTTTCTTGAACACGGGACATAGTCGGTGTCATGTGCTTCAACCACAATTCACCGTCTATCTTGCCCCACTCCCGAATTGGGTCTCGTGCCATACGGTGTCGGAATTGCTGGTCGTAGTTTGACCAGCCAAAACCCCCGGAGCGGACTGCGGCATTACGGATTGTTTCCATGTATGCCAACATGCCCTGTATGGTGGACTGACAAAAATGTTTCACCACGTAAATGCTCATATATATGTGGAAAGCTGACGTCCATTGGCCTATGCTTAATGCCCTGGCGTTAGCCGGCTTGGCCGGCGAGAATCGCAGATTACCCGACGAATCCATCTGCATCTTAAATGCATCGTCATCGTCATGCGACTGTGCGCCTGGCAACAATGTAGTCAACTCCACAAACTCCCCTCTCCATACTCTCTCCCGTACAACTTGACGGACGTGAGCGCTGATAGCATCCGCCTGGAAGGTCAGGGAATCCCCTGTTCCCTGATTGGTTGACCCCGCTCCTGACTCTGCACGTGGTGTGACGTCACGGGAAACTCCCGGCTCGCCCGAGTGTGCACTGCTAAATGACAACACGTCGGGATTTCTTGACACCACCGACCCCGTTACCCCCAGATCATTGGTACTTACCCCTCGCATGCCAGTAAAGCTCCGAGAAGTATCTTGGGCCATCCGTTTGCCTAGCATATCCAGTATGCTGTTGAGTTGGCTCGATATAGCTAACATCGACGGAACGGGCGATCCCACTTGTTGGGGCTCTTC